AAGAAGCCTGGCAAAGTCACACCAGGGGCCATTCTGATCACCTCATTTTGGAATCTATAGATATGAAATCATATGAAAAACATTAAATCATGTCAGAGACAGACAAAATAGATTTGCTGGCTATTAAAGCTGATTTTCTAGGGAACAATAAAGTTTATTTTCACAGTCCTCAATGGTGATTCATGGCCCCAAGCACTTTAGATAAGAGGGATCCCCATGCCAGATACATCACAGGGATGCTGATGGTGGGGTGAGTGGGTGGCTATCTTTCTGCAGCCAGTTTGAACACGTCCCCTCCCCATACACAATCGCTGGACCCTGTACACCTGACAGCTATCCAATTGCTTCGAAGGCAAGAGTAGGGCTGGGCTCACACTGACTTTCTGGTTAGCTCTATGCCAAGGACACCCAGATGGACTATTTCAGTCCCCAAACCCTCTTGCTCATTCACAAAGTCGTATCAGCCAGAATTATCTGGCTGGTTACTTAAGCCCTTGCAGGGTCAGCTGAAGCTCTCGATGAATTAATAAAAAAAAGAGGCCCAGAGCCCAGTGACACAAAAAGATGAAGCATCGAATGGTGCTAGGAAGACAACTCATTTGTCCAGGTACTCCAGTCTAGAATGCTCCAAATTTAATCCCATTCCATTCCCTCCACACCACCAAAAGAACCTTGCTTCATTTCCTTTGATTCTTACTGCAAACAAATTATCATCACAGGATCGTAGGATTATAGATTTAGAGAGAGAAAGGACCTTAGAGGCCACTGAAACCAATCCTTCATTTTATAGATGAGGAACCTAGGGCACAGAAAGGTGACTTGTCCAAAGTCACAAAATATCAGTGGAGGCATGTGAACCCAGGTCCTCTGACTCCAACTCTGATCCTCTCTCCACTCCACCACTCTGCCTCTCCCAGAATCTGAGCTAGAAAGGGCCTTAAAGTACTGAGACATAGGATACCAAAGCTGAAAGGGGTCTTAATAGAGCTGGCAGTATATTATAAGAACATCTAGTCCAATCCTCCCATCCCATAGATAAGAAAACTGTAGCCCAGGTAAAGAAAGTGATTCCAACAAACATTTTGCCCAAGGTCCCAAAGCAGGTTAAGGGGCTAGTACTAGATCCCTGTTCTTTGGGCCCACAATCTAATAATGCTCTCCCCACTACACCCAGCAGCCATTCACAGCAATAAACATCTCCCTACTGCATACTATGTTTAAGGTGCTATGCTAATTATCATCAATAGTATGACTTCCTCCAGTCTCACATCAGACTTAGAGATGTCTTCCCATTTTAAGGGGAAAGCAGAGACTTTAGTTTGGTTCTGAATAGGAGAGTAGAGGATGGAGGGGTGGCAACTAGAATGGACCAAGGGATGGAGAGGGAAAAACCAATAGAACTGACCATCCCTGGAGTTGTGAAACTACTGCCTTTCATCCAGAAAGAGGAATTTCCCCTTTACATACAATATCCTACGTGAAAAAGCTTCCCTTCTTCCCAATTCCCCGGAATCCCAATGTCAGCACTTCCATGGAAGTCAGGCAGGCATAACTGTGGTCAAATGTGGAAAATGCAGGTCCATTCCAGTATCTGGAGGCCAAAGCCTTGTTCTCTGCCTGCAGCAGAGCTGTGGTCAGTGCTGGGGAAGGGGGGAGAGCAGCAGAGCCTTGCCAATAGCAATCAATCTCTCCCAGAGTCACAGACGCGGAGAATCTCAGAACTGAAAGTGACCTTGGACGTCAGCTGGAACAATTCTCTCATTTTACAGATGAAGAAACTGAAATCCAGCTCAATTGAGGGACTTGCTTGATGTCTCACACAATGAGTGAGCTGCACAGTTGGGGCTACTGCTCTATCTCTTGCCTCTCAGTCCCAGGCTCTCTCCGGTGTCCCACTTTGCCTTTCTCCTACCAATGGGGCTGAGGCCTTCCCAAGAGCCCTCCCTTTACTCAAACAGAATCCAAATCCAGCTCTTAGCACAGTAGAAAATACTGGGTAAGACACTTTATAAGTGTTCATTAAATGCAAATTTATGGGCTGGGATGGAGTTGGGGGAACCAGACAACCAAAAAAGTCACAGAATTCTATAGATATAGAAAGATATGGAGACCTATATATTTTTAAATAAAAGTTTATTAATTAATTAATCAATTGACTTCCCCCACTGATTATTTCCAATTTATTCTGTACACATTTTCTTCGTACATGTTTCTTGCATGTTGTCTCTCCCATTAGACTGTGAAGTCCTTGAGAGCAGAGACAGTCTTTTGCCTTTCTTTTTATCTCCAGTGCTTAGCTCAGTGCCTAACACATAATAGGTATTTATTTGATCAATATTTTTTGGCTGGCTGATTAAGAACAGCCTTCTAGCTCAATGATTTTCAAAGTGGGTTAAAAATTTCCCAAAGAGTATGCAAGATAACCCATCTGGGGTTGTGGAGAAAATGGACAAAACCCATGTTCTGTAAGTTTAGAAGAACTTTCTTCTCTCTCCCGTCCAACATTTTAAAGTCAAAGTCCTGTAGCCTGGAATCTATAACAATGGGAGAGTCAGAGCTCTTTACATGGGAGGGAGACTAGACAGAATTGTTGGCCATCCAATCTCAGAGGACCACCAGTCTGGAATGTTCCTGCTTCTGGGGGGAGGGGTGTTAAAGGTAGGGGAAAGGAAGGATGGATGAGGCTCTGACTGTTTTCGAATTCCAGGGAGAGATCCCAGCAGCAAATGTAAATTATGGCTGGGAAAAAATATCCCAGACAGTGATAAGAAAAAGAGAGGAACAGCTGGAATGTATTGAGAAGGCCATATGCTGAGTAGGACAAAACATCCCTCAAAACTTGCTAAGAAACTCCAAACAGAGACAACATATCTAGCTGTAGCTGCCTTGTTTACTGGAATCCGATTAATGATTCATAGAATGTCAGAGCTGATAACGAACTCAAAGATCATCTAATCCATTTCACTGATGAAGAGACTGAGACCCTGAGGAGGGAAGTCACTGATCCAAGAACACACAAGCACAGAGACAGCAAGAAGAGGTTCTCCAGTAGGAGATGAGGAGCTTCCATAAGTACTAATATTCCCTTTCAAATCATCACTGCAAAGAAATGAATTCACAGGGCCACTGAATGCCTAGATTTTAAGTAAATTCTTTGAAGGCAAAGATCACACCCCATACCTCTTGGTACTTGAAAATCAGATCTGGGTTCTGACCCCAGCTTTATCATTAAATATTTATGTGATCTTGAGCAAGTCACTTCCTTTCTCTGAGCCTCAGTTTCCCCATCTGGAAAATGAGATTGCTAGATGATCTCGTAAGCTCCTCCCAACTCAATTATATTAATTAATTATAGTCTATATAATTTTAAGAAGCACCTATTTCCATGGCCATCACCAAAAGCAGTACTATGAATGTCCAATCCCTGCTCAGTTTCCTACAGTAGAAAAAACCCCAACCTTCTCAATCTATCCAGCTGCCCAAGCTTACAGAACCAAATTAAAAAACAGCGAATTAGCTTCTCTTTCTACCAGACTATGGCAGAAGCTCCAATGTTCTCTGTTGCATCTAAGACAAAATACAGACTCCTTGATGTGGCATTTAAAGCCCTGCATATCTGGCTCAGTCAACCTTGCCAGACGTTTCATTTACTTCCCTTCACAGACCCTGTGTTCCAATCAAATTGGCCTATTTGCTGTTCCATTCCATTCCATTCCATTCCCCATCTACAAGTCTTTTCACATACCATACTTCATGCCTGCAATGAATTCTCCCCTCCCTTTCCCCTCTTAAAAGCACCTCCAATGGCTCCAGGAGCAAATACAAAATGTTTGTTCGGCATTCAAAGCCCTTCCTAACCAATCCCCCTCCTACCTTTCCAGTCTTCTTATTCCCAACATACTCCTCAATCCAGTGACACTGGGCTCCTGGTTGTTTCATTAAAAAAAAAAAAGCATTCCATCTCTTCACTCTGGGCATTTTCTCTGGCTGTCCCCCACACCTGGACCACTGTCCCTCTTCTGCTCTGACTACTGACCTCCCTGGTTTCCTTTAAGTTCCAACTAAAATCCCACTTGCGACAGGAAGCCTTCCCTAACCCCGCTTAATTCCAGTGCTTTCCCTCTTTTAATTATTTCCTCTTTATGCTGTATATAGCTTACTTTGTACATATTTATTTGCATGTTGTCTCCCCCATTGGGTTGTAAGCCCCTTGAGGTAAGGACTGTCTGTTGCTTCTTTTGATATCCCCAGAACTTAGCACAGCGTTTGGCACATAGTAGACACTTAATAAATGTTGACTTATAATCGATTAGCTCCCTTCAGGGCTCAGCTCAGATACCATCTTACATGAAAAATCTTTTCCTGATCCCCCTTGTCTTCTTTATCCTTCATCTTGTACTTTTTTCTGCTTACATATTTCACCCCCCAATAGAACAGAAACTCGAGTGCAGACACTGCTTTTTATTTTTTGTCCTTGTATCCCTGGGAGCCTAGCACTGTGTCTTGCACATAGCAGGTGATTCATGCTTGTTGGGTTGGACTAAGTCCCTGGCTCAGTGAGCTAATGAGAGGTACTTTCTGATATGGCACCCAATGCCATTACCCTACTATTACAAGCCTAGTCAAGTCTTTGTCTTTTCTTTCCTTCCCAGGGAAGAGGAAGGGCAGTCCAGGGTAATATGACCAAGAAAAAGGCAATCATGTGTAGAATTAAACTATATATCAGGAAAAACAGATCTAGATAGGAAGAAAAAACAAAAACAGAGACACATCTGAATATACCTACACACAGACCGTACTCCTTCCTCATTTGCCCCCCCACACACACACAGGAAGGCTGGGAGAAAGGCCAGAGTTGACCAGAAATCCAAACTCTCCAAAGGGAATCATGGGAAATCCCCCCAAATTCTACCTTGCCAAGTCAAGCAAAAACAACTAGATTGTGGTATGGTTTGGTTTCATTCAACAAAATCTGCATAATAGACAAGGAAAAACTTTACCGGCCTACCCATCTTGCCCCTCTTGCCATGAACTCCAGGAGGCCCCTGTATGGAAAAAAAAAAGCAAAATTAATGTCAGTACAGGAATCACTAAAAAAGAATAAGAGACATTTGAAGCTCAGAGAACCCTGCCAAGACGCTGACTTTCCCTTTGGGCTTAGGTTCCTGTTGGACCATACAAATGGGGGCTAGGATGGTGCCCAGAAGACCTTGTGCCTGGTGTGAGCTCCTTGCTTGTTTGGTCCTAGTCAAAGACAGGTCTGAAATAATGCATTTGGGGTTAGTTTGGGAAACAGAAGTGATGTAGCCTAGGAGAATACTAATAGGAGAGAGCAATTCCGGCAGTGGATCTTGTCATTTGGACAATTCACTTCATCCCTTTGGGCCTCAGTTTCTCATATATAAATTAAAAGGCTTGAACTTGGTGTAAAAGATCCCTTTCCAGCTCTGATACTCTATATTCTAAGGTCCTTTTCTGCTTGGGCCTTCTACATACACACATACATATGTGTATATACATATATGTATGTGTGTATAAGTATATGTGTGTACATGAATATACATACATACATACATACACACATATCCTAAAAGACATTAGGTGTTTAGAGACAGCTAGGTGATGTGGTGGATACAGCACTGAGCCTAGAGTTAAGAAGGACCTGAGTTCGGATACAGCCTCAGACACTTAACTAGCTGTATGAACCCAGGGAAGTCACTTTACCTCTCTCTGCCTCAGTTTCCTCAACTGTAAAATGAGGATAATAATAGCACCTACCTCCCAAGGTTGATGTAAGGATCAAATGAGACTATTTATAAAGCACTTAGCACAGTGCCTGGTACACAGTAGGCACTATATAAATGCTATTACTATTTTTGTTAATAGCCTATGTCCTGAGGTCACTTCCAGTTCTAATATTCCTGGATTCTATTGTTCTGGTTTGTTCCCACGACTGTGACAGTTTCCCCAGATTTTGGTCCCAGTTGGTAGGGAGCAGGTCCAAGAGGAAAGCAGCCTCCATTGACCTGCCCACTCTTAGGAACAAACGGTAGAGGTCAAGTCCCATCTCTCATTCTTTCCCTCTTCACCCCCAGCTCTGTTGTGAGCTGCTTTGCTTATTCCCCAAGGTTACCCGTGCCCTGGGCATTTAGGCTAAAGGGAAGGGTCTTAGGATGGGACATTAGGACGCCCAGAAAGATACTCACCCTTTCTCCATCAAGTCCTGGAAGGCCAAAGAGCCCTGGGAGACCAATATACCCCTATGGACAGAGCAAACAAAAAACCAAATGAGTCACCCCAAGGATGCTGGCCTGTCCCCATCCCATCTTGGCTGCCTTCCTCCTCCTCCTCCTGCTCCTCCAGCGTTGGTCCTGGGTGCTCCACGTTGACATAAACCTTGAGGCAAGTGTATATGCCCATGGACTGCATGGTGCTGGCTTCCACGATGTAGTCCAAGGGCACATACCCTCACACCAGGGATCGGGGGGCAGGTAGGGGAGGCTCCTTCTCCGTGTGGGGGCAGGGTGGGAAGGGGCAGGAGGCTGTCGTGCCCTTGCTGGCTGCTCCTGGGACCTAGAGGAAAGGAAGCCTGCTTCGGGGTTAGATGAGAGGGGATGTGCCGGCGGTATCTCAGGGCCAGCTAACAAGCAGTTCCTTCTACAGCTACTTCTCCCTCTTCTTGACCTGCCTCCTCTTAAGAATTTCCACTGTGATACTTTCGACCTATGACCATTTCCTGGATGCCCTCTCTCTCCAACCTTCTTGGTTTCTCCTTCCCCTTCCCTCCTCCAATACAATTCCCACCCCACTCCCCAAACCATAACCCTCCAGGCCCAATTAACTCAGTATTTTTGAGTTTCTCCAGTTACCCTCTCCAAAAACATCCCTCCTGTGCTGCCTGTCTGGAATACCCTCCCACCTCCTCTTGCCCTATCAGATGCCTCTTCCATGAACCAACTCAAGTCCCAACTCTTGTAGGAAGCCTCCCCTGCCTACTCCAGCCCACTCTCCCTCCTACAGACTCACAGTCATTGTCGGTACCACTCACTGGGCACTGCTCTGCCTTGTGACATCCCTTGACTTGTTTTAGATTATTCACTGTCATAGCAGTATTATTGTGTGACACAGGAGAAAGAACACTGGAGTAGGCATCAGAGGATGTGAGTTGAAATTCCCACCTGAGTGACCTTGAGCAAGTCACTGTACCTTACTGGACCTCAGTTTCATAATCTGTAGAATGAATGGGATGGACTAAATGGCCCAAAAGGTCCCTTCCAACTCTAAGTCTGTGTGTGGGCCTCAGCACTCTGACTAGACTAGAAGTTTCTGAAGGATAAGGATCATGTCTAATGACTCTCTGTATTCCCCAGAGAGTATTCTCCTTGGTTCTGCACACAGCAGGAGCGTAGTACATGTTTTTTTAAATGAAGTCGCCCCCACTCAAGCTGTCTCCCCCCTACCCCTATTTGTTCACAGTCCTGAGACACCTCCCATGTGACCCTTTGCTGCTCTGACAAGCCTTCTTCACTCTCCTCAGACCTTTTTCCAGGTACCCTTGGCCTTCCTTCTCCAGAGATGCTTAAGAAACTACGTCTACTCTACCTCCCACCCCAGCACACACACACACACACACACACACACACACACACACACACACACACACACACACACACAGAGTGAGAATCCAGGTTCTTCTTCCACTCAGGCTGCCCCTCCTCTGAGCTGTTATGCTGGTAGCATATGTGTGTTCAACCCTTTTTAAAATTAGTCAATCAACAAGCACCTCTGAGTGCCTACTTCACGTCAGGCACGATGCTAGGCCCTAGAGATATAAGACCAGAGCAGGGATGGAAGGCAAGCTGCAGCAGGACCCTGAAGCTGAATGAGGTTCCTTCCTTCTAGGAACAAGCAGAGACTCGGGGATCATCTTTCACCTAGGGTCACATCTCACAGGTATTAGGCAAAGAGAATCAGGACTAACCCGTTCTCTATCAGGAAAGACTCTGGACTAAAGCCTATCTCTAAGACTCAGGAGTGTCCTCAGACAAGCAAGACTTTCCCCATGCCTTGGTCTACCCTTCGAATTTACCTTGTCACAAAAGGAGAGTAATGTTCTAATTATTTGGCAAATTCCCTTGGCACTCCATTCCCAGGCGACCTAGCCAACTAGCTCTGGAGTGAGTCACATGACTTTGGAGAGATTCCTTAGCACCTAGGTCCCTTTCCTAATCACCTCAGCAGTGATCCTGGAGGCAGGAGAAGCCATGAGGGATTAAGATGGATGCATGCTGAGCATTAGTGAGATGGGAGCTGGCTAGTCACATTCCTGTGCCACAGAAGGGAAGGAATGGGGAGAGCAGGCTTTTTTATGACTGGTGGCTACAATCAGCAGTGTATCACAGGGGTCATCCCTCTGGGCTTCAAGCCACTGCTGGCAGGAGCCCAGAGCTCCATCATGACAACCATCTCAGCAAAGCCCAGAGAGAAGGGAGCAGAGGTTCAGTTTCCAGTGTGCATGTGGCATCAAGATGTTGTCCACACGAAGAGCATAAATCAATCCCAAATTTCCCTGGCTTATCATCCCCCTCAGCCCCATCCCAAGAACATGTCTTCTTAGGGTTTGGACAGAAAAGAATTTCTCTTCGGGGACTGGAGAACTGTAGTAGGATCAATGTCCTGGGAAGGATACGATTGAGAGGTCTGCTTCCCAGCCTCCTCCAGTAAACAAGACTCAGGAGCTGACTAGGGCAGACTGCCCTCAAATGCAAATATAGTAACAGCCTGGTGAAACATCCCAAACAGCTGATACCCATCCAATAAGTCTATCTAACTCTGCCAATAAATACCATGCATGCACTTCAAGGCTGGTCTAGGGGACCCAGTGTGGGACGATTCTTATCCTCTCATCCTTGGGGTGAGTGAAAGCTGCTTTGTAGAGTAAATTCTCATCTGTCATAATGGCATGGCTCTGAGGCCTTTGCTTTGGGGGAAGAGTTCTTCAAGAACGAGCTGACTTTGCTCTTTGGGGGCACAGATGACTAAATGCCCAATGCTGCCAGGCACATCCCCACCCTTATGTGGTGGGCAAGAGCAGCCAGGGCGAGCATATGGAAAATGTTTAAGAGCTTACTTACAAGGCCAACCCCAGACAAGGGTTCAGTAGCCACTGACAGACACAGCCAATGAGGCAGAAATGGGGCTATCTACAGCTTCTCGTGGGAGGTCCCATGAGGCCTTCCAATTTGTCTCTAGAACCTGTAGCAATAGCCCTAACTTTTTACCTCTTCCCAAGAAGGCCTTCTCTCGCCCCAGTTCCTAATAATAACAATCACCCTTTACATTGGCATAGCCCCATCCAATGCAGGGTGTGATTTGGCATCTATTATTTCATGGGATTCTAGAGGCAGCCCCGGGAGATAGACAAGGTAGGGATAAAAATCCCATTTTACAGATGAACAAAGAAGCACAGAGATCATGTCAGTGGCAAGTGAGGAGTGGAGTCAACATCAGAATCTGGGTCTGGTGCTACATAAGACTACACGTGAAGGATCCAGCATGAGCGGGAATAGTCTATAGAAGGAGCTGCCAGGGCCCTGAGAGCGAGGGAGAAGGGGAACTGATGGTGGGCAAACGTGTGGTTCTAAGAGCAAGGCAGGGAGCAAGTACTGGCCCTCACAGTGGCCACCGGTAGAGACACATGCTCTACTCCTACTGCTTCATTCTTTCACCCATTTAGTGCTTTGCTTTGCAGGGATCGCTATGGCTTCCCGTGGGCTGACTCCCTCCTCTAGAGTGGAAGCAGCTTACAAAGGGACCACTTAAAGGGAAGAAGAAAAGGGATGGACCTTTGCCTACCATACCTGGCCTCTAGCCATTGTCTGAATAGCTGTCTCGTAGGCAATTCCCAGTGCCCTGAATACTTCTGCCAGGCTGCGGACATTCACCAGGAGCTAGGGCAATGCTATAGCCACCAATTACAGGCAATTAGAACTGCCGCAACACCCTCTTCACATGAGTCATGCTGGCTGTTCCGCCTGCTTACCCCAGCAAGGGAGGGAATGCGGGGAGTGGGGTTGGAGAAAGGGGTGGAGGGAAGACCGAGGGGCGGTAAGATCACTTGCAACTGGCTCCAGCATCCTGGCCTCAGCTGGATTTGCTCTGTGCCACAGATGGGGCCATTAGGAGTAGCCCTGGATCTCTCTGGCTCACTGCACTTGGCTTAAGTGAGAGGCTTTCTGGAAAGCCGTATCTCAACCCATGTCCCGCCCTTCTTCCATCCCACCCTCCTAGAATCTCCTTGCCCTGGGACTCTGGGGGTGTGTATGCTGCTACCCATGGCCAAGTGACAGACATAAGAACTGAAGGGGCTTGAGGATCCCCAAAACTGGAGTCAAAAGGGCACTCTTGGTACCCTGCTGAGTGGGAAAGATGGGAGCAACATCCACTTGTAGAACCTGCTCTGAGTCCTAAGCAGTAAGCGCACACCTCTGCCATTTGATCATCAGAGTATCACAGGATGCTGCCAAGATGCACTTACCCGACTGCCTTTGGGTCCAGGTTCTCCTACTGGCCCAGGTAATCCCTGAAACATAAGAACCAAAGAAAGAAAGACAAGTGTAAAGAAGCCTTAAGTAGCCCCAAATAGGCATTGTCAAAGTTATATTCTGTACATGGACCAGGAGTGAAAAGAGATCCTGGAGCCAGAAGATCTGAGTTTGAGTCTTGGCTCAGACCATTACTAGATGAGGGATTATTTCATTCTTTGTCTTGATACCCCCAGTGCCTAGTCCAGTGCTTAGCACATAGTAGGTGCTTCAAAGAATATTTGTTGGTTAATTACTAGCTGTGTTGAACTAAGGAAAGTCATCTAACTTCCTGGAGCCTTCGCTATAAAATGATAACAGTGTTCATGGGGTCATGGTGAGGAAGAGGCTTTACGAAATCCTGATGGGTGCCTAAAGTGAGTTATTGTGATTACTTCTGATCAGGGGCCCCCAGTGGCCAAAGACCCAAGAGGGAAATGTGAAGCAGCCAGAGGCAGAAGAATCATGACTGGCCGTCAGAGCTAAGCCATGGAAGGCACCACTGCACAGCCAGCATACCACAACATGTCCACACTCACAATTAACTGGACCCGTGACTAACCAGAGTCATCTGAGGGAGAAGAGGGAAGCTCTAGGCTGAGAAACATTTTTCTTAGAGCCTCAACTCACTCACATCCTTGAAAAGGGAATAGATTAAAAAATCATGAGTGGCTTGACCCTGGGAAACTCATGAGTTTTTCCTACTCACAAGAGGCAGCATGGTATCACGGAAAGAGTGTCCAAAGAGGTAGGAGGATTAAAAACTGGATATAGAGTCAGGAGGACCTAGGTTAAAATGCTACCTCAGACACTTATTTGTTGTGTGGCCCTGAAAAATTCACTTAACTTCTGTCTGCCTCAGTTTCCTCATCTGTAAAATGAGAGAGTTGTACTACTCAGTAGCCTCTAAGAGCCATTCCAGATCTAAATTTATAATCTTACAAGGACCTGAGTTTGAATCCCAGCACTGACCCTCATGAGGTGAGATGATGCTCAAGTCTTTGTCTCCACACCAATAAAACTTGTACTCTCTGTAAATCCTAAATAAGGTGCCATAGACACGTGAGTTGCCTGATTCAGATGGAAAAAGCCCCAATAAGCAAACAAACCCTGTATGCTGTGCAGCTATAATGACCAAACTTGTTCCCAAAGAAGAGATGAAAAAAAAATACAGCTCTTCGCTTTGGAGCAGAAGGGAAGGACTATGGGTTTGGAAGGAACATTGCCTAAACTGTACAACTAAGCTGACATTTGGGATAGTTTTGCTGATTTTTTTTTTCTTTTTTTTTCTTCTTCATTTCAATGGATGGCCCTCGGAGTGGAGAGAGATATTCAGACATGAAGAGGATGTAAAGACAAAAGATATCAATAGATTTTTTCTAAACAAATGTTAGTCATTATAAGTATTATACCTGATTCTTGGCAAAACTACCCAAGTTGCCATATTGGTCCAAATATGAGGGAGATAGAAAGGGAAGGATGACGAATGCGAGATGAGAGGTATAATATGAAAAATTGAATGGATGTCCTCTCCCACTCAAATCATGTTCTGTCCTAGGTCACAGGGTCATGCTCTAGAACTAAGAAGAACCCAAGAGACCATCTAGTCCAACCCCCTCCCGTTTTCTTTATAGATGAGGAAAATGAGACCCAGGGAGATTAAGTAACTTGACCCAGTTCACACAGGTAATACACATCTGAGGTAGCCTTTGAACCTAGGTCCTCTGACTCCAAAGTCACTCTACTATGTGACCTTGGACATATAATTTCTTTTCTTTGGACCTTACTTTCCCTACCGATAAAATGAGGGGATTGCATGGTGCTCCCTATGACATCTTTCACCTTAACATACTCTTGACTATAACCCTGATGAAAGCCATCCTGAATGTACTGCACTGGAAATACAAGGGGGGTGGGTAGGGAGGACTAAAAGAAAGAGAAGGCAGAGCTGGAAGAAGGGAAGGGTAAGGCAGAAGGCATGTTTTGGGATGATTTCAACTCTTCAGAAATGTGGGAGAAGCAGAATCACCAGGAGGAAGGCTAGATTCCCCACTCCTCCATAAGCCCCAGTCTAAACAGAAGCAAGACTTGAGTCTTTCCATGAACCCACTCAACCCAAGTTCTGAAGTAGTTGCCAGCTTATAGTTCAGCTCTGCTTACACACTCCTCCCATAAGAGAAGATCCAGAAGTTGGTCTTAGGGATAAAAAAACACGTGGGACAATGTAGTATTTCAGGCATGAACTCCCGAAGGAGGTTTTTGCATCTGGGATCTCTCTGATTCCTTTCTTCAAAGCACTTGGCTTTGCTTTGATAAGAAAAACAGCAGAAGCCTAGTCCTGTGTGAAAGGTCTTAGATTTTCCTGTTAAATCGGAGCTAAAGGTCTATGCTAATTAATGGGGTAGTCAGAGATGGAAGGGATCTTAGAGATCATCTAGTCTAACCCTCTTTCTTTTTTGTAATTTAATTTTTTCAATTAATAAAAATCTATTTTCTCTCCCTCTGGCTTCCCTCTCATTAACAAAGAAGGAAGGAAGGAAGGAAGGAAAGAAGGAAGGAAGGAAGGAAGGAAGGAAGGAAGGAAGGAAGGAAGGAAGGAAGGAAGAAAGAGAGAGAGAGAGAGAGAGAGAGAAAGAAAGAAAGAAAGAAAGAAAGAAAGAAAGAAAGAAAGAAAGAAAG